ACAGTCCATTTCCACCAGCTTGGAAAAACTCATGAAAAATTAAACATGGAATAGATATTAATTTTGCCCCATTTATAAAAGAAATGTCTTTTTAAACCACATATTTATAACATTTAGCCAATAACAATATCCCATGTTTCACAACCTGGGTAAGAGTTAAGACAAAAATAAAAATAATGGGGAATGAATTATGTTTAGCTACAGTACACATTGGCAGAAACTAGAAGGAAATGCTTAAAACAAAGCATTTTGTATGTGAAAATTATATTTGACCTTTTTTCTATTAGGTAGTTCCAATTATATACAGCAAAAATATAATTAAAACACATTTACAGAGAATTGAATCTGCATAAACATATTCTGCCTTTGCCTTTCTTCTCCTCCCCCTTCCGTAAGCATACCTCTCTTTATTAATCTCCAAATTTATGGGCATATCTGGTATTTTGTCAGAGTATCTAACATCATTTGCCTTTTTTAAATAAACAGATAATTGCATCTCACTTGTGATAAATCAAATAATATTGTATGTAATTAGCCTTTGATAACACACTGGAATTAAAAATTTTCCTTGATCCTTAAAATGTCATTTCTGAAGTCCCACAAATATTTCCAAACCAGCAAACACTTTCCAAAACATTTGTTATTTCATTATTATATTGCACAATAGCATTTAAATCTGAGAGACTATGGTGGCAGCAAGGATAGTTAGGTTAAATTGTACAAATTACACTTAACTTTATATACCCACTAGCAAAGCTGAAATTCAAAACACATTATTTTTTGTCTTTCTATGGCGGGGAATTGGGACTGGGCAACACAGTGTTGCGTTGGTGCAGTTCAACCACCTTCCCTAGAAATAATCTTTGGCCCTCACCAATTATACTGAAAGCATAATTTGGAATTTACCATTACAAATGTTCATCTTGGTTTATATTCATCAAATTCTCTTTTTCAACTTCTCAAACTCAATTGTAGATGTCCAGGAAGCTAAGAACAGGAAGCTACAAAAAGCTATCTCATGTAAACAGTGCCAAACTCTTATTAACACTAACAATGGAAGAGAAGGAAAAATCTGCATGACATAGACTATAATCAAGGTAATTCATTCTGCATGGCCCTGGCAAATAATCTACAAATTATGCATCACCATATGTATTGCATAGGATTCACTGACTAGCTTCAATAATGGTAAACCAGATTTCCCCAAAAATCCTATCTTACTATGGGTAAGTTGTAAGCTAGAGAGTTTAGTCACTGACTCTCACAACCAAATTGAGTATTCTCATAGCTAAATTAGGCAGGATTACAACTCAGAATTGTATCTGGACATCCCAGAGGTGCTTTGTCAAAAGGAAACTGGAGTGTCTTGATTTTCTTTGATGACATTTCGCTTCTCTTCAGTTCTGACTCATGAATTCAAATTAGCTTGGTAACAACCACCAGAAATCTCACTGGGAAACCCTGGGAAACTTTCAATTCCTGGTTAATTTAGCTATTCTTGCATCCAGGATTGATGCCTCCTAGAAGTCAGAAATTAGTACAATTCTGGTTTTCTACTGTTATGTGCAAACATAACAATTTTATCTGCAACATTAGATAAATGGAGAAAGCTTGACTTTTAGTTTAACAACCTGTACCTTACAGTTGGCTATTAGACATCCATCTTCTTCTGCCAGTTAAAAATTACTCAACATTTAAGGTTTCTAAACTAAATCCAAGAAGATTGTTAATCACTACAAATTATATAGTACTATCTGTGCTAACAATTTATGGATGGAGACACATGAGGAGTTTCACTGTCAAATGAGAAGTGGGGCACATTTTTGTTCTTAATTGCACATAAATTACTGTGATTATTATATGGCTAAAATGCATTTATCTATTAATACCTCAGAAGAACAAATCTGAACAAAGGAATTATGCATTACATCTTGAAATAATGCTGAACAAAGGAATGAATTAGTACCATGCATAAGGTATTGCAATTACAATAACGAAAGAAAATAATAAAAAGACTGCTGTAAATCTTTAATACTAAGAAAATCAAAAAACCTTTAGACTTGAAATAGCTGTTTTCTCATTGCAAGAACTTCAAATCTTTTTCAAGATGCTATGATGCTACCATCTCTCAGATCAGACCACTGGTTTGTTTAACTCAGTATGGTCGATTCTTGGTGGGTAGTGACTGTTCATTTCTTAATCATACTACAAAAGTATCCTTTTCAATTGTGATGCTAGAGACTGAATTTGGAGTGCTTTGCTGATAAATATGTATTTAAGTTCAGGACTATAATCTCCTTTGAGACAAGCTAACTCCAGATGTCTTCATCAATATATCAATACAGGCAGTGGTGGGATTCAAATTTTTTTACTACTGGTTCTGTGAGTGTGGCTTCATGGCCTTGGCAGGGGAAGGATACTGAAAGGTGGCATTTGCCAGTTCTCTGAACTACTCAAAATTTCTGCTACCGGTTCTCCAGAACTGGTCAGAACCTGCTGAATACCACCTCTGAATACAGGCTTCTCTGCAATAGTACAGAAACTGTCTATCACTGCTAATTGTTCATTCTGATGCAAAAAACACTCCCGATTTTCTCTGAATGTGTTTTACTATGTCATAACCTTAAAATCTATCTATCTATCTATCTATCTATCTATCTATCTATCTATCTATCTATCTATC